AGAACATATATATGATGATACAAAGCTGCTGTATCTTTTACTCCATAGGGGTAAGAAAAGTCCAGTAATTCTTACTACCACATTTTCATTAATATGATGATGAGCATACTTTATTGCTTAGTGTTGTGTGATCATGTAATGGAACACTACTGAAGTAATTCTCCAACTCCTAATTTGTGGTTCATAACATGGTAGAGAATCTTTCAGGACCGACCTGCCTTACCTGTCACTACAGATGTTTTCTCTTTCCTAGTAATAATATGCATAACAAAGGTGTTCCATGTAACAAAATTGGTCAATACTAATAATAAAGAAAACAAGAACTGATTTTTTCACTATGCATCCATAAGCACGACAGTGACAGTTAATAACCCTTTGGATGTTCAGTCTTGACATTTCTGAAATTCTTCCATGTAAAATTTCAGCGTTGATGATGTAGTAAAAATTCATCCATATATTTGATTCTGTACATACATGTAGTAGAAACACAGTAAATCAGCACATTTTTCTTAACAGCCAGCTCAGGACTGAAACGAATAGTTAAACGATCCCCTAGGACAACTCGGCGTTCTAGTCTGCAGGTTTGTATTGCATTTCTACAAAGCCACATATGCCTGAAACAATATTTATAAAAGATTACCAGGATAACCATAATGAATGATGTAGAAGGATAAACAGCAAAGCAAATTTCTTGTCAATGTATCCTAACTATCTATGTGTGATTTTAATATAAGATACTGCTTAGAAGTCCTTCCCTGCAATGCAACTTGTTAACCTAACTCAGAATGGTTCCTTACCATTAGTAAACTGTTACCAAAACTGTTCTTCCAACTCTGAAAAAACTTTTGCAGTTACATTGGTGCTCACAGTTATTTCTGAATTACTTTGCAGACTCGTAATATAAGCAGTAGACCCATCACAGTACAATTTTAACTTTGCCTTTTCAGCTAGAGCCAGCCCTTTACTGCTAGAACCTGCATTTTGCCATTTGAATGAGCTTTGACTCTTCAGAGAGACAAAGATCTATCTGAAGATTTCTTCCATTAGAAAAAGCCAATTCTATTAGGAGGACTGAATAAAACGAGACAAATTGCGAGAGACTGGAGGAACATTGTACTCAGTTTTATATTGCTTGATGATCAGTGGCTTGAGCACTGATATGTCATTGTCTGCACTACTTCAGCGTTTGAAAATTTTGTAGCTTTGTTTTGAGCAAACAGCACTTCACTGGAAAAGTCTGGGTATGGACTAGGGAACAGTGAGTGAGGCACTTTTCTTATTCAACAATACAGATGTTCTGTTCTAGGAGTACAGGAAAATAGTTTGGCAGGGCTGGAGAACAATCAACTGTACAGCTGTAGCCAGCAAAACCATGAATGTTCTGGCTTTATTAAGTGGAATTATGCAAAAAAAGGAATAATAGGGAAAGGCATGAGCTGGTTTATGGTTAGCTTAGAGGTACTGTAACAGTACATTCAATCTTTCTTTTTTCCCCTAACACTGACAAAAAACCATTTCTGGCAACTTTCTGTTATGTGTAAAAATGTGCAAGGAGCACATAAATATGTTCATGGACAAATACATTTCCTCCTCCTCTCGCTTTCCTCTCCTACTAGCTGTAGTACCTCTACTATTAGAGGTGGGTTAAAGCAAAGAAAATGCATCTGGCAATGTCATACATCAACAGTTTTTAATACATTCTGTCACATCACCAGCAGCTGCACTTGCCACTTGCAATTATATCAGAACCCAAAATAGAACACTTAGAAACTGAACTGGAATAGATGGTTCAATATATTTAGGGGTTGCAAATAAGGTTTCACGAAAGGTTCAAATGTAATCTCCCTTATGGTAATTCAGATTTGATTTAAACTTAGATTTAAGTTGAACTGCAAATGTAAATAGATTGCAATACCATAACACAATTGTGCCTTTCCTGAACACGTAACATTCAAGTTTAAACTTGGGATAACTTTCCAAATTAGGCTTTTGCTACTATGTAAAAGAGTAGTGTCCTCCTCATATTAGCTATTTGATAGCTGAGACATATTTAATTTTTTGAATTCTACATCTTGACTGATTAATCTGGTGTCTTCCAAAATTTGAATATAGAATAATAAGCATAAGAAAAACCAATCAGGTAGTGTGGATACTAAAATCTTTAAAGGAGCAGATAATTTTTGAATGATGACTTAAATTTAGAAGCTAACCTTGGTGATTGTTCTGGACTGGTTACTGTTCCAATAATGTAATTTGTTTAAAACACAGAAAAAATTGCAGGATCAGTGCCACCTCCCTCATCCTTGCTGGCAGCCAAATATTTAATAACCATCTGTAAAGTTCACACAAGGATTCATGCTCAAGAGTGACATCTGCCATCAGATCAAGAGTGTAAAAGGTGATGGTAAGATGAAGAATATCATGGTTTAATGAAAGTTTTCTATAAGTGCTTAAACAAAAGCCTCTTCTACCAGCTGACTCTTAATCATCTCATTTATTGTTTTATTCCAAAAAGAAATGCGAACATTTTTCACCATCTCTTAAGCCACCTGAAATTTGATAGGAATGCCTAGATAAATATATTCAGAAAACACTGTGCAACACAGCTTTCTGATTTCTGGGAAGCTTGCTGAGCCCTGGATAAAGGTATACTCATTAGAATTTAATATATCCTAGAAAATGTAACTACTCAGCATCTGAAATCCACCCTGAGCTAAACAGAAATCCACTCTGAGCTAGAAGAACTTAAATGCCAACAGTAACATAACTGTCTGCCCATAAGGGCACATCTCAATAATCTGCTTTTCAGTGGTTAGAAAGAATTCTCATTTCTTAAATGACACATTTTTGACACCTTTTTAATAAACAAAAAGGGGTGCTAGAAGTCAAATCATCTTCTGTAACAACCCAGTCTTGGCAGAGGTAGGTTGTCATATAGCACGATACAGGTTATCATTTAATACCGCTGAAAGAAAATAATTTCGAACTCTATTGTCAGGTAACCTTCTTTGGAGAACAGTGAATTTAATGCCTAACACCCACATGAGACACAGGAATAGTTGAATTAACAAGACTAGTGTCATGCTGTCAGCTGCTGTTTATTTAAATAAAATGTCACAATCTAGAAATAAATTAGTTTAAAAACAGTGAATTGCTGTAACATACAGTGTTTCTCAAGCTGGACAAAAGTTAAATCCCATTTACACTGCATTACTTTCTAAAAATGGATGCCTTTTAAGAAATCTGTTTAATTTTCTTTGAAAAAGGCTATACAGGTTAAATCTTCCTTCTGATATCTTGCTATGTTTATTTCACCTTGTAGAGTGTTGTGTAAATTCCTTTGCCAATCCTTTTATTTCATTAAATCAAGAAGTAAATAAGTCTGTTAAGTCTTTTATTTTTTGTGGAGTATAATGAAAACTTGAACTCCACTTCTCCAGCACCCCATCCCTCTTTAGGTATTTTACATGCAGTTACAATTTACTTGACTTTCCATCAAGTTCTGGTTTACTTTCTTGTTTTTTCCCAATTGTCATAGAAAAGTGAGTAAAAACTAAATAGATACAGATTATAACTGAGATATGGGCAAGGGGAAATCGTTTTATTGTTTTAAGTGTTTCTTCTAAATTGTACCTGGGACCAGCAGCTGCTATATTTCAATAACTGAACTGGAATTCAGGTTGGATTGTGCTTTTACCTATTAACACACATGAACCTATGGAGTGATGAGCTCCATCAAACACAGTGGAAAAAGCAGGAGCTTAATGACACTCAGCATTTTTTCTGGATATTGTCCCAAGATACCTACCTTTAATTTAAAACCTGTACTTTAAATAATACGTATGTCCATATATAGAGAAATATACCACAGAATGTGATCACAGGTTTATCTTAAATGAATGTTAAGAGTTGTTAGCATGAACACATAGGCACATATCTTGGGAATAAAGATAAGATGACAGGAGAAACTGCACCCTGTTCTCACACACCAAAGCACACAACATAAAAACATGGAGACGCTTACTTGTCCAGGCTTCCCATTCTCACATAAAAAGGCTTCATGCTCTGAGGCAAACTCAGGAGCGTTGTCATTTACGTCAAGAACTTTGATAGCAACAGGCACCCGGGACACTTGACTGTGGTTCCCTAAGAAAAGAAATCAAAGCATAAAAGGTAAGCATATTTACTTTGGGACTGATACATAAATGCTTACATAGTAACCATACTCTTCCTGTCTTCTGTCCTTGCTTAATTGGGTTGTCTTATCTGTAATGGATCGTAGAGTTGGAGCATGAGATAAAGAAGGATGGCCAGTATTTTACGGTTGAAAAGAATAAATAGATCCCTATTGCAAACAGCATTTGTTGGAGATTAGCTCAATGAAGACCTTTCTTGGACTAAATTGGTAAGATTTTTCTTTGATGAAGTTTGTATTGTTTTATTGATAAAGTCCATTATACATGGAAAAGGGAAGGCTGTAAACAACATAGATTTATTTCTTTGTTTATCTTTAGCAGAGCACAGAGCATTTTACTCTATTAGTTGTTCTGACTGCACATCTATTATTTCTTCATTACAAATACGATTAATGTGGAGACCCACATTGTGAGAAAGATAGATGGTAGATTGACATAGGCAAAACTAGATAGTACTTTGGACCATTAAAGCACTTTGATTCATCTGCCACTGACCAAAAATGCAACCTGTGAACTTCTTTCTTCACTGAAACAAAGCTTCATTATTTATCATAAAAAGCTGTTTTGCATAAAAGTGTTTAACACTGTAAAGAGTAGAATAACCTTGTTAAGCTGTAAGGAAAGAAAAGCTAAACCAGCAGTTCGCATTCTACTTTGAATAGATTTCACAGTCAGTTTCTAGTGCCTGTCCTTCAATTCAGTATAGCTAATTTATTTTAAGAGACTACTTATAAATATTCTATTCTTCCCAAAAAGCAAAAACATGAATTCAGTTTAAACTGAGGTGACCAGCTGCTCTGAAGAGTTTCAAACACTGTTCTATAGCACATGCATACCTCTACAACTAACTCAATTCTAGTTTCAAAATCCATCTCTTAGTGAGTATTATTTTACAACCATAGTATTTTATCTTGTTTATATCATCAACAATTTGAAGAACTGCACACTGTGTGAATTAAACTCTGGGTCTGACTTGTAATTAAACTATGTGCTTTTGCCTAAAGTATTACTGCAGGCAAGAAAGCTGCTACCAGAAGTCTGGGTATCGACTTACAGTTGTTGTGACAGCTTAGCAGCTGTCCAAAGCTCTCATGAGCCCATGTGGGTTCTGTTCTCTGGCAATACAGAACCGGCTTTAGGGGAAGGCAGGGCAGAAGTTCCTATTGCCTGGCATTCAATGTACCTCGCATAACAAATGTCTGCAAAGTAGAAGTATGTCAGGCTCCACCAGCGGGCAGGTAGCAACTGGTGGCAGCCCTGCAAGTGGTGGAGAAGATTAAGGGAAGAGTCACTATACACACTGTACTTTTTGTGGTTTCCATCAAAGTTAATTGTGTTGTGATCTAATTAAACCCTACCTCTTGCATCCTTTTTTTTTTCTTATAGGCTAAAGACAGCCATAATTTTTGAGGCTCCACCTATAAATCTAAATGTGTAAATGCAATTGCTCTACTAACATTACTTTGAAATAGCATAAAAATAACTATTTCAGAAGAGACAAAACCAGTCTATCGCCAAATGTACTAGTACTGTAAACAAAGGCTTTACGTTTAGTGGATAGCGTGAAATAGTAAAATTCCACCTGTATAGGATATGGAAGATTACAAGACATCAGACTTCAAATGCTTCTCATTTGAAGAAGTCAAAAGTTTTAGTTCAGAAAGAAACATGTTACAGAAGAAAAAGAAATCCCCACCAAAATATTGTAAGAGTAATATTTATGTCCATTTTGCATCATATGATCTTACTCATTAACAGGTGAGGTGAACACTTACGCCATGAAATAATAATGTATTTGAAATCAAATAAAAGTTAATATGCAAATCATGAATGCCAAACATTTTAAACGCATTTTTTTATCTTAGCTTGATAAAAACACAGACAATGAATCTTGAGGTTATCAGAATTCTCAGCACTAGTGTCATATTTAAACACTAAAGATTTACTTTTATCTAAATTAATTAAATGATGGTAGTTCAAATTTTAAAGACATTACAGAGAAATGTAATTAATTAGATAAGCTTCTAAAGAAATTATTCATGTCCCTTGTGACTGCCCCCAAAATGTTTGTCTTTCATCAGAAACACAAACATTAAATTTAAAGAAATTATAATCAGAAACTTGATGAGAATTCATTTAAAAAATTAATTTACTAAACACAAGAGAGACCCAACTGGTTTGGAAATCTCCAAACAAGGACATCTATCCACCGCCTATTAGGATTCTTGTGACTATGATGAAATTTATTGTGGAGGAAGAGAGAAAAAGAGAGAGAGAGAGAGATGGAGAGGGAATTTTATCTACTGCTTGTACTGCCCACCACACTGAATACATTGCATTATTTTGTCACTGCAAACTTTTCAATGAAATTTCAATTTATGCTAAGTGTCTTCCCTGTAAATAAAAATCACCCTAAGCATACCTATTCAAACAAATTAATGAATTCTCACTAAGCATATCCAGATTTCACTCGTGGATGAAAACACTGTCAAGATAAAATAGTTTCATCTGTCCATTTTCACACATCTAATGTCTGCAAACTTCTCAGTGGTAAAATATGTACACAGAGGATCTCCCTCTCAAGTTTAAATCCATCACTGTTAGCAACGGCCAATATCCTTGAACTAAAAGTAGAAAGTGGTTGAAATGGATCCACTCTGATCCACAGAGTACACAAAGCGTTACATCTGCATGGGCAACTGTCCTTCATACAGTTGGCCTTCATACTTATTAGTATTGAATGTTCAGAACTTTTCCTCATTTGTATGAATGGAGAGTCAGTTCTTTTTAAACTAGTGAGAAAACTGAATTTTAATTACTGGGGGGTTTTTTGTTTGGTTTGGGATTTTTTCCCCAATGAACCACCCAGTCAACAGAATTAAGGGAGACACAGTCTTCTTGCATGTACCAGGTAGATAGTAAGACTGATTGCTTAAGTTCCAATCCATTATTTTATGCAAAATCATGCCTGTAAAGTTAGACACTCTCTCTCTCTCTAAGGAACTAACCGAATTTGTAAAAGCTTCATCACTTGTATTTATTGTGATGCACAGTTTAAAAAGACCTACCTTGACTCTTGCAATACAAATATATCATTAGGACTGTCAATTGAGAAGCAATGGTTTGGTTTGAAAATTTAGCACACTGAGGTGCAAGATTAAAAAATATTGTGAAGATTTTCACTAGTCTAGTTTACCAGAACTCTTCAGAGTAAGGCTGCACAGAAGGACTTAGTTTTTAATTTCAAATACATTCAGCTGGTCATCTGTGGACACCACTGCCACAGCACAGCATGTAGCTATAAGAAACACATATGCAAATTGTGTACATAATTTCCTAGAAGTACAGCTCTTTTATGTCTCTGCTGAAGTCTCAATTACTGCCCACAGATCCAGTAGTCTGCTGTAGATGAGCACAGCACACACGCAAAGAAAGGAACTTCTAAACAAATACAAGGAAAGGATGACTCAATGGAAAAATAACTTGTGGAACTTACTAGTGATAATAAATAAATTTCCAAAAATGATGGGAAGTCTAGCTGAGTTTAGAAATGCATATTGAAAGGTTTACAAGAAATAAGCTTATAATAAGCACCTAAAAAGCTCTTCTGCTTTTCTCCTGAGTTCTCAAGATTCTATTGGAACATGAGATGCTTGAAATACACACCTTGCTGGTAATCATATTGGAGTAACATACCCATTGAAACTTACTCAGGATTAAAAAAAGCTGCAGAGTTTGATACAAAAATGAAGAGGTAGATGAGATAAACTAAAATCTAAAAAATCCCATTATCCAGCCATTTAGTGTCTCCAAACCTGATCGTTTGGAGGCTACAGACGCACGCTAGTTCTTATTGTGATGACCACATTTCTTCCTTCCTGGAAAAACCCTACACATCTGAGATGTGCGTGCATCATTGGAAACATGTAAGCAAAGCACTAAGCATTGTTAACATTGTTACTCCATGCAGCAAGTAATACTAGGAGTAACTAGAGCTTATGAATGAAATTTTTGGTCTTGTGCCATAACTAGCAGAATATAATGCAGCTATTCAACTTCCATAAACGCTTAAACACTTCATAAACATGCTTAAAACACTTCTCCACTGTCTTTCCTTCACAGATACACATACAAGTGGCCTTAAAGAGTAGTGGTCTTTAAGAAAGAGAATTATTTGCTCCGCAAAATGAAGTTTGTAATTTGTTTAACCCAAAGAAATCCGGTTTAATCTAGTTTTCCTTTATTTAATTAAATCATCCAAAATCACTTCAAGGTTCTCTTTAAAAAATCATAAGCTGTCTTGCATTTTAACTACAATTAAGTACCTGAATAGAAAGTAGACTCCTAGAAAATAACACATCTTTTATTATTATTGTCATCACCACATGGCTTGGAAGTGGTTATTTCATGCTTCTCTGATTCAGTGAAATTTCTACTATAATAATATTTTAAATTAGAAGTAGAGGAAGTCTTAGTTCTAACAGAGAAATCAAAATAAAATCTGAATCACTGACTTAATAAAAACAACAGCACTTGTTTTACATCCCTTATATTTCAAACTTATTAAGTTGTATTTTAACAGATCCATTCCCCATGTCTTTATCAAAGTTTTACCTGATTACTTTACGAAGATAATCTACATGCAGGACAAGTTTATTTCTCCTGTTAGGGTTTATGTTGCCGGTTTTTTTGTGCAATCCTTTACCTGTATAACACCACAGCTTATAACAATTTTTTTGCCATATAAAACTGACAAATCTAACTTCAAGAATCCTGAGAAACAGAGATGCTATTTGTGTTGAAGTTTAACTATAGGAATCACATACTGCAGCAAATCCTGAGTTCATTTCTCTGAAGTGTTATGTAATGGTCTGATTCAAGAGACACCGAGTGCCTGAAACTGCCGCGGAAATTGTCAGGAAAAGGCATCAGTAACTGGCACCATTTCTG